GAAACATCAGCCTTCCTGCTCCTCTGATGCTGCTTGGCCTGCTGTGTTCATCCAGCTCTACAGCTTGTTATCTTGCTGAAGATGCTGTGTCTGTATTTGGATAAACAAGTAAAATTAGGATAGTCCCATGGAAAAGGGAGAGGGCCGTTGAAGAATGATGGTCGAATCATGTATGTTAAGATTGCCAAGAGATTGAGAAGGAATTATGATCCATGTCTGTAGATGAGGAGAATTTCATTCATGACCTTTGTTAGGATTTTTAAAATGTTATGGGACAGTCTAAGAGATTCAAAGGAGAGTTGTGAAAAAGACGTCATCATGGGCTTGGGAAGCAGCAATATGCTTAAGATGAGGTTTTCATCCTGTTTTTGCATAGTGGCAAGATATTGACTAGGTTGGGTTAGATTTGGGTTGTAATGATGGCGATAGACAGCTATGCATTGCTCAGTAAGTGCAACATGACAAATGACAACATAATAAGGGCCATCGTGATATATACTTCTGAATCACAAAAGGCAGCCAGAAGGATCCTTATAATTGGTGACTGAACCCAACTCCCCTAACACAAAGAAGATGGATGGCTTCTGACAGGAGCTTTAAATGGAAGGCAGAGGGGGGTTACAGGTTTCAGGCACAGGGGGGTGGGGTTCAGTGATGGGGCCAATTTTGGGAAGATTTAGGGTGTGTTTAAGAAAGTTGGGGTGGGTTTTGAGCAAGGATCAAATGAGACAAGGTTAGATGTGTGGCAGTAGGATAAACACCTGAATGAACATGGAGCTGAATCTAGACGCGGAGCTCTGGATGTGACATCATGACTCAAAAAGTGACTTAGGCTTGGCTCCTCAGGAAATGGGTTTGCAGACTGAGTGAGTAGTGTTTAGAGAGAGACTAGGTACTTACTTTTTGTAGTTGTAGTCTGCTAGGAATAGAGAGTGGGAGTGAGAGACTGAGTTTGGTGACTAGTGAGTCAAATTGTGTAATCAGCTCCTGGATTGTTGTCTGTAGTTAATAAGGTTGATTTAACTAATGTGGTTCAAAATGGCAGGAGAATTTGGCCCCATGGAATGCTCCTCCTGCAACATGTGGGAAATCAGGGACATGCCCAATGTCCATGGAATATGCAAGAAGTGCATTCACCTGCAGATGGACTCACTATGGAACATCCATTGGGCTGAGAATGTTGTGAGTTAGGCACACCAATAGTAAGGGCTACACAGACAGAGAAGAGTTGGGTGACCACCAGGAAGACAAGTAAGTGTTGGCAGGCAGTGCAGGAGTCCCATGTGGCCATTCCCCTCTCAAACAGGTATACCATTTTGGATACGGTTGGTGGGGGGATGGCCTCTCAGGGGAAAGCAGCAGTCAGATCAGTGGCACCATGACTGTCACGGTTGTATAGGCTGGAGGGTCGAAGCGCAGGCGAGCAGTAGTGACAAAGGACTCTATAGTCAGGGGCACAGATAGGCATTTCTGTGGCTGCAAATGACACTCCAGGATAGTGTGTTTCCTCCCTGGAGCCAGGGTCAATGATGCATCTGAGCGGGCACAGGATATTCTAAAGGGGGAGGGAAAGCAGCCAGAGGTTGTGGTCCATATTGGTACTAACAACACAGGCAGAAAGAGAGATGTGGTCCTGCAAAGAGAATTCAGGGAGTTAGGTAGGAAGCTGAAAAGCAGGACCACTATGGTTGCAATCTCGGGATTACTTCCTGTGCTATGTGCCAGTCAGGTTAGGAATAGGAAGATAGTACAGTTAAATATGTGGCTAAAGAGCTAGTGTAGGATGGAGGGCTTTAGGTATGTGGATCATTGGGATGTCTTCTGGGGGCAGGTGGGGCCTATACAAGTAAGACAGGTTGCACCTAAACTGGAGGGGTGGCAACATCCTGACAGGGAGGTTTGCTAGTTCCATTCGAGAGGGTTTAGTGTGGCAGGGAGTGGGGTGCCAGAGCAATAGGTCGGCAAGGGAAATGACAGATGAGGAGTCAGAGATTAAGGCCAGTAAGGCTAAGGGGAAGAACAGACAAAGACAGGATACTGAATACAGCAGGACTGGTGGTCTGAAGTGTATTTGTTTTAAAGTGAGGAGTATAATAGGTAAGGCAACTGAACTTAGAGCTTGGATTAATATATATATATATAAAAAAGCTATTACAGAGACTTGGTTGAGAGAAGAACGAGACTGGCAGCTTAGCATTCCGGGATTTAGATGTTTCAGGCAAGATAGAGGGGTGTAAAAGAGGCAGGGTAGTTGCCTTAATGATCAGGGACAATATCACAGCTGTACTGAGGGAGGACACTTTGGAGGGCTCATCTAGCAAGGCCTTATGGATAGAGCTCAGGAATAGGAAGGATGCAATCACTTTGATGAGATTGTACTACAGGCCTCCCAACAGCCAGTGGGAGATAGAGGAACAGATATGTCGACAGATTATGGAAAAATGAAAAAGCAACAGGGTTGATGTGGTGTACGATTTTAACTTTCCCTATATTGACCGGGATTCCCTGAGTGACAGAGACTTGGGTGGGGGAGAATTTGTTAGGTGTTTCCAGGATGGTTTTTTTTTAAACAATATGTAAATAGGCCAACTAAGAAGGGCGATGCTACACCTGGTATTGGGGAATGATCCTGGCCAGGTTATTGAAGTTTCAGTGGGGGGAGCATTTTGGGAAGAGTGACCATAATTCTGGAAGTTTTAGGTTACTTATGGATAAGGATAAAAGTAGTCTTTGGGTGAAAGTATGAAACTGGAGGAAGGCTAACTACCACAATGCCAGGCAGAACTGGGGAATGTAGATTGGGGGTGGCATTTTGAGGGTAAATCCACATCTTGCATGTGGGAATCTTTTAAAGTCCAGTTGACTAGAGTTCACGTCTAGCATGTTCCTGGAAAATGAAGGATAAGGATGGCAAGATTCGGTAACCTTGGATGGCAAGAAAACTTGAAAGCTTAGTCAGAAAAAAAAGGAGGCATACATAAAGTTTAGGAAACTTAAGACAGACAGAGCTCTCAAAGAATACAAAGATAGCAGGAAAGAACTCAATAAGGAATTAGGAGGGCTAAAAGGGGCCATGAAATGTCTTTAGCAAACAGGATCAAGAAAAATCCAAGAAGTTTTACATATATATAAGGAGCAAGAGGGTAGCTAGGGAAACGGTAGGTCCACTCACGGACTAAGGAGGGAATTTATGCATGGAACTGGAGGAAGTGGGTGGAGTCTTTTAACACATACTTTGCATCAGTATTCACAAAGGAGAAGGATACAGTGGATAACGAGTCTTAGGAGGGGTATGTTGATATTCTCAAGCGTGTCGATATAAAAAGCTGGTGTTGGGTGTTTTGAAAAGCATTAAGGTAGGCAAATCCATAGGACCTAACGGGATCTATCCCAGAATGCTGAGGGAGCCAGGTGAGGAAATTTCTGGGGCCTTGTATGGAATTTTCATTTCCTCTTTGGTCACAGGAGAGGTCCCAGAGGACTGGGGAATAGCCAACGTTGTTCCTTTGTTTAAGAAGGGCAGTAGGGATAGTCGAGTAAATTACAGGCTGGTAAGCCTCACATCGGTGGTAGGGAAATTATTGGAGAAGATTCTTAGGGATAGGATTAACTCACATTTGAAAAAATATGGACTTATTAGTGATTGGCCGCATGGCTTTGTGTGGGGAAGGTCGTGTCTCACAAGCTTGATTGAGTTTTTGAGGAAGTGACAAAGATGATTGATGAGCGCAGTGTGGTATTCATTCACAGATGATGGCATTGCTGGCTAGGCCCAGAGAGCAATAAGAGTCAACCACATTGCTGTGTTTCTGAAAGCATATGTAGGCCAGACCAGGTAAGAATGTCAGTTTCCTTTCCTAAAGGACATCAGTGATCCAGATGGGGTTTTCATGACAATCAATAATGGTTTCATGGTCATCATTAGACTTTCAATTCCAGATATTTATTGAATTCAAATTCCACCATCTGCCTTAATGGGATTCAAACCTGGGTCCCCAGATCATTACTTGGGTCTCTGGATTAACAGTCTAGCAATAATACCACAAGGTCATCGCCTCCCCTGGTAGATGTTATCTAAATGGACTTCAGCATGGCCTTTGACAAAGGTCCCTCATGGCAGGCTGATACAAAATGTGAAATCACATGGGATCTGCAATGAACGAGTAAGATGGATAAAGATGGCTCAGTCATAGAAGACAGAGAGTGGTGGTAGAAGGGTAATTTCCTGACTGGATCTGTGACCAGTGTGTTCCGCAGGGATCAGTGCTGGAACCCCTATTGTTTGTAATATATATAAATGATTTGGAGGAGAATGTAGATGACATGATTAGTAAATTTGTGGGTGACACAATGATGGGGAGGAGCTGCTGATAGTCAGGAGGATTGTCAGAGGTTACAGCAGGATATAGTTAGGCTGGAGACTTGGGCAAAGAAATGGCATATGGAGTTTAATCTGGACAAATGCAAGGTGATGCATTTTGGAAGATCTAAAGCAGGAGGGAAAGTATACAGTTAGTGGTAGAACCTTTAATAACATTGACATTCAGAGGAATCTAGTTGCGCAGATCCACCGTTCCCTGAAAATGGCAACACAAGTGGACAAGGTGGTCAAGGAGGCATATGGCATGCTTTCCTTCATCGATCAGGGTATAGAGTATAAAAACTGGTAAGTTATGTTGCAGCAGTATAGAATTTTAGTTAGACCACATTTGGAATATTGTGTACTATCTGGTCACCACACTTCTAGAAGGATGTGGAGGTTTTGGAGAGGGTATAGAAATGGTTTACCAGGATGTTGCCTGGTTTGGAGTGTGTTAGCTATGAGCAGAGATTGGACAAACTTGGTTTGTTTTCACTTGAATATCAAAGGATTGGTGGGGATGGCGGGGGGGGAGCGGTTAGGCGTACCTGATTTATGTTTACAACATTATGAAAGGCATGGATAGTTGTGGAGGTTTTTTTCCCAGGGCGGCATGGTGGTTCAGTGGTTAGCACGGCTGCCTCACAACACTAGGGACCCAGGTACGATTCCAGCCTCAGGTGACTGTATGGAGTTTGCACATTCTGCCTGTGTCTGCATGAGTTTCCTCTGGGTGCTCCGGTTTCGTCCCACAGTCCAAAGATGTGCAGGTTAGGTGGATTGGCCATGCTAAATTGTCTAGGGTGGGAAATGCAGGGATAGGGTTGGTGGTTGGGTCTCGGTGGGATGCTTTTTGGAGGGTCGGTATGGATCGATGGTCCAAATGGCCTGCACCCACACTGAAGGAATTCTACGATTCTATGAAATGTCAATTACTAGGGGGCACAAGTTTAAGGTAAAAGGGGAAAAGTTTAAAGGAAATGTGAGAGGCAAGTCTCTTTGTTAAACAGAGGATGTCAAGTGCCTGGAATGCACTGCCAGAGAAGGTGGTAGACGCAGATACAATAGCAGAGTTTTAAGAGATGTCTTGACAGATACATGAATAGGCAGGGAATAGAGGGATACGGACTGTGTAGATGCAAAAGGCATCATGTCTCAGCGCAGTCTTGGTGGGCCGAATGGCCTGTTACTGTGCTGTAGTGTTCTTTATTCTTAGTGTTCAAGCACAGTGTGGTGGGGGTGGCAGGGTGGGGGGGTGTCAAATGCTGTTTCTTTTGAGGAGTAGGTGTTAAAGATAAGGGCAACATGTGAGGAGAGGGAACCATTTGCAACATCAGCTGAATTGGGGCCGGATGGGAGGTTGAGTGAGTAGCAATTTAGTATGAATGGGGCCAAGACAGAAGAAAACAGGTGTTATGGATAAAATGAGTTTGGAAAAGGTATAATGGAAGACAGGAAAGACAGAATATTTTCAGGTATAGAGGAGTTGGTTTTGGATGGAGGTGTGCTTTATCCAAGTAGAAGTAGAATATAAGGGACTGACAACAAAGAGGCAATTTTAACCTTAGCTGCATGCTGGGTGACCACAGGATTGGGTCTAAAAGCAACATTTCACCAATCTCATGGGTTCCCTAATTGGGGAGGGTGAGGCAGGATGCCCTCAAAAGCAATATCACCTTACCTTCTACATAGTCCATATCAACATCATGTCAGTAATGAGCATTTTTCATTGATACAGGTATCAATTATAATATATTAAATGAACCAATTATTTTAGGGAGTTCAATAAACTTGTACTCTGGCTGTACGCTTGTCTTCTCCCTGTGCTCACTCTGTGTACACCCTGTCATTACCCTCACCCATTCAAAGGCTGCTTTTTTCAAGCAATGTGAAGTTTGAATTATTTCAATAAGTTGTTTGTTAACATCTCATTACTTCAGTGATTAGATTTTGGATCCACTGCTCAAAATGAGGACAGAAAGTTGTTTCACTGTCATCATCTAATCACTAAAACACTGAATAAACACAAACACTGAACACCCACCATAAGATAGTGGTGTCTGTACATTAAAAAAAATCTTATTATTTATGGGAAAGAAATGAGCCATTCAAGACAACCAGTCTATCTGTGTTTAACCTTCCCTCATGTCAACAGTTCTAATCAAATTTACGTGCTTTGTTACCTAACCTTCAACCATCAAATCAGTTCAGTCTACTTGAACCTTGAATGTTGACAGTTTTTACCTCAAACACTGACCCTGCGTGTGAATTTCAGAATCTCATAATTGTAAACATTTAGCCTGACCTCTATTCTTTTAGATATTTGTTGCCCCTCATTCCAGAAAACAAGTTGTTTCTATTTACCATGTTTTTTTCTACTTCTGTCACATCATCCTGTAATCTATGTTCTAGCTAAACAAAACACAGTTTCTGATCTTTCCAAGTAGTTATTTGTTTATGCCCAGCAACACTCAGTAAATCTATACTGAACCCTCTTTGCTGCTTTAATGTACCTCCCATAGTTCGCAGTGCAATACATCATTCAGTGCCTTGACTGAGATCTGATTAAGGTTTTCCATGTTAAAGAAAGAGACTGAGAATTGATACAAATAAAGAGATGCAGTAAGAATAAATTTACCTGGTTTAGGACCACCCAATTTGGGTCAATCTGTGCATCACCCTCAGGATCCAGAACAACAGTCTGATAGGCTCGGAAATCAGTGAGAGTGACCTCTGCACTCTCGGGACAGACATCAAATTGGTCAAAGACAGCGTCATTATCAAAGTCATTTTCACAAGCATCACCAATCCCATTATCTACATAAAAGACAAGTAGCACATCAGAATGAAACAAAGGCACTGACTTCATCTGACCCACCTACCTGTAGTCAACTCGCCCTCCTTTCCCAAAATTCATGCAATCCATGAAGCTCATTGAAGCTATCATTGAACCTCAACTCTATCTCTCAATCCCACCCTCATCCTCAAGCCCCAGCACATTATGAAACATCCACCAGGAACTACCACTTTATGGTGAGAGAGTTGAGTCACTAACCATCAGAATCCTTCTGATTGGGATTCACAATTAAGCGGCAGTTATCAGGACCCGATGGCCCATAGTCAGGAACCCCGTCATTGTCATCATCATCATCACACTCATCGCCCAACCCGTCATTGTCAGAGTCCAGCTGAGAGCTGTTAGGAATTTCTGGACAATTGTCTTTGGAGTCCTGATGCCCATCGCCATCACTACAACCCAAACCCAACAAAAAAATAGTCACCATTTCACCATTATACACACCAGTAGTATCAACAGCTCACCAGAACACACACACACACACATACACACACACACACACACACAGTCAATACCTCACCATTACACACGCACAACACACACACAGAGTCAATATCTCACCATTACACACACACAACACACACACACACACACAGTCAATAATATCTCACCATTACATACACAGACAGTCAATATTTCACCATAACACACACGAACAAAGGTCAATGTCTCACCACGACACATAAACAATGGTCCATACAGAATTGGTCGTGGACAGGAATAAAGTTTTCTTTCCTTTTTCAGGTTGGCAACCTGTGACCAATGGACTTCCACAGGGATCAGTGCTGACATCACAGCTGTTTACAACTTATATTACTGACTTGGAGGAAGGAAGTGAATTTTAGCCAAATTTGCAGACGACAATAAAATAGGTGGCAAGGCAGGTTGTGAGAAGGATAAAAACAGTTTACAGAAGATATTGGAAGGTTATTAAATTGGCAAAACATTGGCAAATGGAATATAATGTGAGAAAATGCAAAAGTGTTCATTTTGGAAGGGCTATTAAGGATTACAGGGAAACAGCAAGAAAGAAGAGAGGACTGTTAGATTAGCCATGATCCTGTTAAATGGTTGAGCAAGCTCAAGGAGATGAATGGCTGACTCCTATTCCTATTTCTTACGGTCTTAATATCTCATCATGCCACACACAAAACAGCTCACCATAACACACACAGAATGAGGTTAATATCTCACCATGACACATATATACAACAGTGAACTGCACCATAACACACAAACAATGGTCAATGCTCATCATAACACAAGAAAAAGGTTAATGTTCATTGTAACATACACAAAATGGACACATACGCAAAAACAGGTCAACATTTCATACAAGACATGGTCAGAGTAAAACAGAAGGTGACAGGAACAGGAATGGTGCCTAAAGTGGAATTGGAGGATTGGTAGACAAAGGATGGTAGAGAAACAATGCTCATAAGAGGGAAGAATTGATTGGTGAAGGTTTACAAGGAACAGGAATCATGTCAAGACAGTGAGTTGGAGTAGTGGGAGTATTAGAACAAGAGCAGAGACTGGCAGAAAGCATGTAGGAGGTGTGTGACTTTAGGATGATTGATCATTTGGCCAGAAATTTGAAAAGGTATTGATCTGAAAACTTTCTCCCTCTATCTACTTCTGCTGCATGTGTACAGGGGTGTAAATATGGGAGGAGGTTTTACAACAAGATGTTCATTGATGTATGCAGCTAATGTTTAAAATTAACCCTGCGCAAGTCCATAATTTGTTTTCTTCTACCGAAAACCTTCGCTTGTGTTAGGTAGAGACTGTCAGTAGCACTTTCCATAATAAGGGGCATTACAATCAAGCTTTATCCTAAACACTTCGAATATACAGATCAATGGATTTTGTAGAAGAGATCATGAGACAAATGATCAGAGAACCGTTACTAATACTATTAGCTCCCCAGCCAAATTACCCAATGACACAGATTGAAAAGGGAACCACACTAAACTGCACATGTGCACGAGAGAGAGAGAGAGAGAGACAGGGACCATAAGGTGGGAGTATGTGGAGTTTAAAAGACAGTGACATACCCATCTTGATTATTATCACAAGCATCGCCAACAAGATCATCATCTGCATCAGTCTACAGACAGGAAACAAAATAGACAAATTCATTGAGGAGGCAACTCACCCCTAAATTTGCAACAAACACATAAACCCCTAACACCAAACACGGGCCTCCCCCACCCTCACACCAAACACGGGCCTCCCCCACCCTCACGCCAAACACGGGCCTCCCCCACCCTCACGCCAAACACAGGCCTCCCTGAACCTCATGCCAAACACAGGCCTCCTCGAACCTCATGCCAAACACAGGCCTCCCCCAACCTCACGCCAAACACAGGCCTCCCCCACCCTCACGCCAAACACATGCCTCCCCCACCCTCACGCCAAACACGGGCCTCCCCCTTAACTCACACCAAACATGGGCTGCCCACATCCTGGCACCAAACACATGCCTGCCCTAACCTCACACCAAACATACACCTCCCCCACCCTCACTCCAAACACTGCTGTAAGGATGGGGGAGGCCCGTGTTTGGAGTGAGGTTAGAGGAGGCCTGTCTTTGTTGTGAGTTTAGGGGTGGCTGCTCCCACCCTCACACCAAATGTACATTACGCCTACCCTCTCGCCAAACATGCCCAGGCATTCCCCACCCTCACGCTAGAGAACAGGCCTCATACCAAAAGCAGGCCTCCCCCAACCATGCTCCAAACGCAGGCCTCCCCCAACCACATTCCAAATGCGGGCCTCCCCCAACCACGCTCCAAACACAATCCACATGATTTAGCAGAATTTATTTCCACGGACAATCCATGCACAGTCATCTATGAGCTTCACTGTCTAATTGTGACCTTGAAATCTACCTCCAGCATTCCGATCTGGACCAGTGGTTGGTAAATCAATAGCGGAACCCCATGAGATTGAATATTTCAACATAGCCTACAGATTAGAGCAAGATTTCTTTCTAATAGGTGAGCTGTTATCATCCCTCCAGATCAGTAGACTGTTTAAGGGATGCATGCAAACAGGGTTTTACAGTAAACATAGGTTACTTTAATCTACATATACAGTTGGCAACCCATATTGGCAGTAATATTGTGGTGGATATATTCTTGGAATGTGTACAAGATTGATTTTTAAACAAGTACATTGAGGAACCAACAAATTCAGTTTTGGATTTGTGCAATGTGAATAGATCAATTAATAATCTTTGTGAGAGGTCTTTGATGAAAATGTGACCCTAACATGAGAGAATTCTTCGCTCGGACAGAATGTGAAATAGTCCAATCCGAAACTTGGTCTTCAATCTAAACAAAGGAAACTACAAAGAATGAAGGGTGAAGGATGAGTTGGCTTCAATAAACTGAGTATTTTCATTAGAAAGCATGACAATGGGCAGGCAATGGTTAATATTGAAGGAACAAATGCATACATTGCAACAGCAATAGATTCCTTTCAGGTGAAAGAACACAACACAAACCCATGACTAACAAAAGAAATTAAGGCTAGTATTAGGTGCAGAGTGTTCATATAAAGCTGTTAGAAAAAGTAGCAAGCTTGAGAACTGGGAGAAGTTTAGAATTCAGCAAAGATGGACCAAGTGATCGATTAAGAGGGGTAAAATAGAATATGAGAGTAAACGCACAAGGAATATAAAAGCAGACTGTAACAGTTTCTATTAGTATACAAAAAGAAAAAGATCAGTGAAAACAAATGTAGGTCCCTTACAGTCTGAAATGGGAAAATTAATAATGGAGTTAAGGAAATGGCAAAGCAATTAAACAACTACTTTAATTCTGTCTTCTCAGAAGACACAACTAACTTCACAGAAGTAGTAGGGAAACAAGAATCTATTAGGAAGAAAGAATTGAAGGAGCTTCCTAGTAGTCAAAAAAAGGCCCTGGAGAAATTAATGAGTCTGGAAGCTGATAAGTTCCAAGAGCCTGATAATCACACCCCAATGTATTCCAGGTGGTGGCCAATGAAATTTTGGATGTGTTGGTTGTCATCTCCTAAAATTCCATAGATTCTGGAAAACATTAGAGAGTAGCAACTGCAACCCCCAACTGTTAAAAAAGGGAGAGAGAAAAATCAGGAATTACAGACCAGTTAGCCTAACATCAATCATAGGGAAATCGCACAAGTCTACTACAAAGGATGAGATAACAGAACATACAGGAAACACCAATGGGATTATACAAACTAGTGGAATATATGAGGGAGAACCACTGGATGTGGTTTGCTTGGATTTTCAGAAAGATTTTAATGAAGTCCTACTTTAGATGCTTCTATGCCAAATCAAAACACATGGGATTGAGGGGAATATACTGACATGGACTGAAAATTGGTCTGCAGACAGGAAGCAGAGGGTAGGAATAAATGGGCCTATTTCAGCATGGAAGGTGGAGACAAGTGCTCTAGTGCTGGCATAAGGGCTTTGCCCCAGCTATTCACAATATTTACCCATTTGGATGAGTGAATGCAGTGTAATATTTCCAAGTTTGCAGATGACAAAACTAGGTATGAGTGGCTTCAGACAGATTTAGACAGATTGAGTGAACGGGCAATAGTATGGCAGGTGCAGTTTAATGTGGGTAAATGTGCAGATTATTATTTAAATGATGATATATTGGGGAAAAAGATTAATGTACAAAGTAAGCATGCAGGTCCAGTGAACAGTTAGGATAGCAAATTCTATATTGGCCTTCATTGCAAGATGGTTTACAGAAGCACGGAATTCTTACTGCAGTTGTATGGAGCCTTGATGAGACCACAGCTGGAGTATTGCCTGCAGTTTTGGTCTCCTTACCTAAGAAAAGGTATACTTGCCATAGAGGGAGTGTAGCCAAGGTTCACCACATTGATTCCTGGGGTGACAGATTTGTCATATGCAGAGAAATTGTGTCGACTGAGCCTGTGTATTCACTACAATTTAGAAGAATGAGAGAAAGATCTCACTGAAATGTATAAAATTCTGACAGGGCTATACAGACTGGTTGCAGGGAGGATGTTTCCCCGGTCAGAGGGTGCAGAAGAATATGGATCACAGTCTCAGGATACACAGGAGGTCATTTCTAACCGAGATGGGAAAACTGGTCTTCACTCCGAGGGTGGTAAACCTGTGGAATTCTCTACCACAGAACGTTGTGGAGGTAAAATCACTAAATACGTTTAAGAAAGAAATAGATAAATTTCTAGAAGCTAAAAGAATCAAGGCTTAGAGTAGGAGTATGGTGTAAAATGGAGGATCAGCCAGGATCATGTTGAACAGTAAAGTGGGCTCAATGGGCCAAATGGCCTCCTCCTGCTCCTATTTTCTATTTTCTTATTCTAGAACATCTCCTTAAATATTTGCCACTGCTTCAGTACTGATATATCTCCTAGTTTACTTCAACTTTCATGCCTACAAAGTTGTCCTTATTTAAGTTTAAAGTACTAGTCTTAGATCCACCCTTCTCCCTTCAAACCAGATGTAAAATTCAATCATACTGTAGTCACTGATGCCTAGAGATGCTTTTACTTTGAGGTCATCCATTATTATTTTTGATGTTTCTAGTACCCGAAAGGGTTAACAGTCATCGCAAGATAAGTTTCATCTACTAGAATATAAAAAAACTGAGATTGGGAGGAGCCAACTAAATAGTCATATAGTATCTTCAGTTTGTACCTCAGTGATTTTTCTTTGTGTTAACAGTGTTCAGCTGAAGTAGCAAAGTGAACTTACTCTTCAGTGGAACCCGATGCCTCATATATCTTTAGATGTAATATAGTTTGCTTTCCAGTAAAACGGAATGAACCTGTTTAATGTTCATCAACAGTAAGCCTACCTTCTGCCTCATATATCAAGTGGGTAAACATCCCTCCTTGTCCTTGTAGCCTGGGCTAATACCAGCAAGAGGGATTGGTGCCGGTAAATCTATCCAAGGCATTCCAGATGGTTCCAGTGGGATCTAACATTATAAAAGAGTGCGGTATATAGGAGAACAGAATCCAAGCAAGGAGTAAAGAGGTGATTGGAATCTAGCAGAAACTTACACAAACACCGATCACAGAGTAGAATCTGGATTCTGCAGCAGGTATCTTATTGATTACATCAAAGAGCAGTATTTGTTTACAAAAAGATTGTGGAAGGTGGTGGATAGTACCTGTGTGGGATTACTCATCTCAGGACAGCTGTCACATGCATCTCCAACTCCATCTCCATCCCTGTCTGTCTGGAGAGGATTTGGAACCCCAGCACAATTGTCCAGAAGATTGGGAATACCTGGAAACAAAATAAAACCATAAGTAGAACAAGGGTTTTGTGGCAGTTTCCTGAAGGATTAGAAGTTCATGTTGCTCTGGGGATCGGGTCACAGAATGTTGGGTTTTATACTTCAAGGTGAGGTGTTGTATACAGGGGATTGCAGGTACAGACCCATATGGACCTTGAGAAAGAGGGTAGAGCTCCTCAGAGGTCAATAAGTGTGCAGCTGGAAAAGCACAACAGGTCAGACAGCATCCGAGGAGCAGGGAGCTGAAACCCAGATGCTGTCTGACCTGCTGTCCTTTTCCAGCTCCACATTTATTGACTCTGGCTTCCAGCATCTGCATCCGTACTGTCTCCAGAGTTCCTCAGAGCACTGGGGATGGAGGGAGGGCGTGGGTGGGGCATGTGTGGTACAGATACTTCAGGATTGTGGCAGAGGAATTAGCATGGATGGGAAAGTGGGTGTGGTTTCAGGGAGGGGTGGTTACAGTTACATGGGTATTGGGGCAGAATTACCTAGCATTTGACAGATAGGAATTCTTGGGTTTTGGGGCATAGCATTCTTGGGCTGGGGGTAGGGGTGAAGATTGCGCAGAGTTTCAGAGCAGAGACAGAGTGGACAGAATGCTTGAAGGTTTGGAGAGGGAAGAATTTCCCTGGGCGTTGGGGTAAGGTAGTAGTAGTAGTGCTTCAGATGTACTGATAGAAAATACCGTCTCCATCAATGTCATTATCACAAGCGTCTCCCTCTCCATTGTTGTCTGTGTCCTTTTGATTGTTGTTGGGAACATTGGGACAATTATCACATGTGTCTCCAAATGAGTCTGCATCAGAGTTCTGCTGGTCCTTGTTATGAACCAGCCTGCAGTTATCCTGCAAAAGGAAAGGATAGGGTTTACTTCAGACTCTTATTTGGACAGAAGATCTCATGGCACTATAAAAGGGAGCGGGGGCGAGGGGAGAATCTCCTGATGTGCCGCTAATATTTTATCCCTCAGTTAGTATCAAAAGAAACAGATTGGGGTGAGGTTGTGGGGGGGAGAGTGGGAGCTGTTCCCACCTTATTGAGGACCATTGCTGTATATTCTGGCATTCAGGGACCTTTTAAACAATTGCTAATTTCTGAATCTAATCTACTGCCTCCATTCCACAATTTGATGTCCTCAGGGCTGCACACACAATAAAGAGATGTACATGAGATTGTTGACCTTCTCAAAGAATCCAAACAGGTTTGTCAGTTCAATTTTCATTGCAGGCTCTTTATAACTAATATCTCTATGAGACTAGTGTGTAGAAGGATCTGGAAGACAAAGTGGCAGGGCTCTTATGGTGCATTGACAGTGTCCCTATCTCTAATTCAGGGGCCTAGGTTCAAGCCCCACCTGTCCTGGTGATGTATAATAACATTTCCAAGCATGTTGATTAAAATAACCGTAACTGAGCAACTAATCTATTTCGGAGATATTGGTTGAGGGTTATGGATTAGTCAAACTTTAGTCAGTCTAGGACTGAGTGGTCCATTCACTCTTGTCTACAAAGAAAGCTGTCTCACTGATTGACTTGGATCCAAACTGACACTTACAACACAGACTGAGGACAGCAATGAAAAAATCCTTGTGACAAAGTAAACTTCACAACTTTAATAATTTTGTGGTTTGAAAGAATTAGCACCTACTCTTTCTGGAATAAGCTGTTTCTCGAAATTAAAGGGACAGGGAGAAACTGTTATAAAGGAATTTTAAAAAAAACACGTGAATTAACCATCTCTGGAAAGGAGTTGAACAACATAAACGAACAGTTAAAAACTGAAAAAACTGTGGATGCTGTAAATCAGGAACAAAAACAAAGTTGCTGGAAAAGCTCAGCAGGTCTGGCAGCATCTGTGAAGGAAAAAACAGAGTTAACGTTTTGGGTCCGGTGACCCTTCCTCAGAACTCAGTTTGTTTTTGTTCATAAACAAACAGTTTCCTGGGAGACAGGAGATAACAATTGGTTGATAATCTGCTGCCTTGTGACAAATGGGCAATTAAGTCTTCCTGCAGGAGTAATGCTCCGAAGTAAAGGAGTTAATTGCAGGAAAAGCTGTGTTTTAAACAGGCAGCTAATCCTGAATGTAACAGGGAACAGGGGAGCTACTGCTGATAAGAAGGCAAGACCTGAGGTCTCCAGAAGTATATTCAATCTTAGGGATGAAAGAATCTATTGAATCATTAGTAATGTCACACCCCAAACTTGAAAGAGAGACAATTGTATAAAAATCCAACACCAGAACAATTTAGTAGCAGAACTTCGAAGAACCATGCTGCATAACGATTGAACCCTGGACACTTTCAGAGACAGACACTGTTGGTGAAGTCATGGTCAAGCTCCACCATTAATCTGGTAATAACCAAGTTGGGTTGTAAGGCTTAACTTGTTGACTTGAGGGGTGTTATTTTGATTGCTGCATGCAGTAAAGTTTAAATCATTGTTTCACTACTGAGACTTTCTGAGACTTTGTAATAAGTAGCTGAATTAAAGGTAACTTGTGGTGAGTTTACCCATAACACCCTAACAAAAACAGAAATAGCTGCAGAAATTCAGCACTGTCTGGCAGCATCTGTGAGAAAGCAGACTCAACATTGTGGGTCTAGTGACCCTTCTACCCTTTCCCAGTGTCTCTGCTATTTCATTTCCCATTTCCCTTTGTCTTCTGGGAACACACCTATAGTGTCCCAGCACCAAGCCACTATTCACACAAACTAAGTGCTTAAACATTTTACTTTTTATGATTAGAGGGTAAGCTGCGAGCAATTACGCTTCTAGATCTTTCTGCTAGATCTTTCATGCACTGCAGCAACTCACCAAGGCTTGTAAGACAACATTTTCTAAAGCCAGGCTCACTTCCATCTGGAAGGACAAGGGCATGGGAACACCACCACCTACAAGTTCCCCTCCAAGCCACTCACCATCCTGACTTGGAAATATATCAGCCGTTCCTTCGGTTGTCGCTGGGTCAAAATCCTACGACCCCTCCCTCAGGGAATTGCAGGTCTACCTACAGCACATGGGCTGCAGTGATTCAGGGCAGCTCATCACCACCTTCTCAAGGGCAACTAAGGATGGGCAATAAATGCTGGTCAGCTAGTGAAACCCACAAGTGAATTAAAAAAAAATAAACTGCATGATGTTACCTGTGGAGTGGTGGGAC